GACCGCGAAGCGCCCCTGGGACAGGCCATCTGGAGAAGAGGGAACTTGCTCTTTCCCCTCTGGAGGGCGGGGCCCCATTTCCAACGGCACTTTTTACTGCCATGAAAACATTATGAAAGGGCACTTTTCACTTCCCCAGATGTGACAGCCCGAAATCTGCCAGTCTGGGACGCTATGCTTTCTAGCTTGCAGATTCGGTGCGTTTCGCCAGTGGCTCACGAGCGCTGGGAGGATGGTCTCCTTTCTCCCACCCCTCGAGCCTCCCCTCCGGAGCTCGGGTTTGGAGTGAGAGCAAAATATCTCACCTCCAGCTTTTCCGTGGGACCCGCGAGCTTCCCGGATCAGCACACCCACTCCGCGCTGCCCCACTGCTGGTACGTCAGCGATTGTAGCGATGAGTCCATTAGCGAGAGCTCTGCCTGCCTGGTTAGCGCGGGCCAGCTCTTCGCGGTGGCTCATACGCACAATCAGACTCGGCTATGCGATTCAGTTCGCGAAACGGCCCCCCAAGTCACGGGTGTGTATTCACCAGGGTCAGCCCCCTGTCCGCCCCTGTCTTGCGAGAGGAGATTGCTGTCCTCCTGGCGAAGGATGCAATCGAGCCGCTCCCTCCAGCCGAGATGGAGAGCGGGTTTTACAGCCCACGCTTCATCGTGCCCAAAAAGAGCGGTGGGTTACGGCCAATCCTAGATCTGCGCGTTTTGAACCGCTGCCTGCACAAGCTGCCGTTCAGAATGCTAACGCAGAAGCGCATCCTCCGGTGCGTTTGTCCTCTGGGTTGGTCTGCAGCATTAGACCTGATGGACGCGTATTTCCATGTCTCCACTCTTCCTCGCCACCGACAGTTTCTGCGGTTTGCGTTTGAAGGTCGAGCTTGGCAATACAAAGCCCTCCCCTTCGGGCTCTCTCTGTCTCCGCGGGTCCTCACCAAGCCCGCGGAGGGTGCCTCAGCGCCCCTTCGGCTCGCGGGCATCTGCATACTCAATTTCTTTACGACTGGCTGAATTTGCCCTCTCTTTGATTATGCACAGAGTTGATTATGCACAGAGACAAAGTGCTCTGGCACTTCCACCTGTGGGGGTTTCAGGTCAACCGAGAAAAGAGCAAACTCGCCCCCGTGCAGAGGATCTCTTCTCTCGGGCTGGAGCTGGACTCGGTCACCATGGCAGCGCGCCTCTCCGGAGAGCGCGCTCAGCTGATGCTGTACTGTCTGAGAGAGCTCGACAGTAAAATAGTGGTCCCACTGAAACTATTTCAGAGGCTCCTGGGGCATATGGCATCCGCAGCCGCTTCATGCCGCTCGGATTATTCTATATGAGACCACTTCAGCACTGGCTTCACGATCGAGTCCCCAGACGCGCATGGCACGCGCGCGCACACCGAGTCTCTGTTACTGCGCTGTGTCGCCGCGCCCTCAGCCCTTGGAGCGACCCCTCGTTCCTACAGGCCTGGGTGTCTCTAGAACAGGCGTCCAGTCTTGTTGTCGTTTCAGCAGACGCTTCCAACACGGGCTGGGGGGCTGTGCGTTGCGGGCATGCGGCTGCGGACCTGTGGAAAGGTACCCAGTTGCATTGGCATATCGCCTGGAGCTGTTGGCAGTGTTCCTCGCTCTCCACCGTTTTTTTCCGGTGCTGGAGCGGCAACACGTGCTGGTCAGGACGGACAGTATGGCGGCGGTGGCGTATATCAGCCGTATAGGGGGTATGCGCTCTCGCCGCATGTCTCAGCTCGCCCGCCGTCTGCTCCTCTGGAGTCATCCGCGGCTGAAATCGCTGCACGCCATTCATATTCAGGCAAGCTCAACCGTGCAGCCGATGCGCTCTCACGGCAGCCTTGCGTCCTGGAGCATGGAGACTCCACCCCGAGTCTGTTCAGCTGATATGGGCGCGATTCGGGGAAGCCCAGATCGATCTGTTGCTTCCCCCGAGATCGCTCATTGCCAGTTGTTCTTTCCCTGACCGAGCGCTCTCGGCACGGATGCACTGGCTTACAGCTGGCCTCGGGGCACGTGCAATACGCGTTTCCCCCAGTGAGCCTGCTCGCGCAGTTACTGTGCATGGTCAGGGAGGACGAGGAACAGGTTGCTGGTTGCGCCCCTCTGGCTCAACCGGACCTGGATGTCAGAGCTCTCCCTCGCGATAGCCCTCCCCTGGCAGTCCCTTCGAGAGAGCACCTACTCTCTCAGGGACAGGGCACCACCTGGCACCCTCGCCGATCTTTGGAGATTTTTAGACGCGAGGAAGACTTAGGTAACCTCCGATTGCGGTGGCTAATACCGTCACTCGGGCTAGAGCCCCCTCCCCGAGCGCGCCTATGCCCTGACGTGAAGTCTATTCACTGAATGGTGTGTCTCTCGCTGAGAAGACCCCCGTAATTTGCCAGATCAGCGTTGTGCTTTCTTTACGCCGAGAGAAGCTGGAGAGCAGGCTGTCGCCCTCCACACTCAAGGTTACGTGGCTGCCATCTACGCTCTCATAACGCGGTGGCTGGCGGCACCGTGGGAACGCATAACCTCATCATCCGGTTCCTCAGGGGCGTTAAGCGAATTAATCCACCCCGCCCCCTCTCATGCCCTCTTAGGATCTCGCCCTCGCTACACAAGCCGCGTCAGATCCCTTCGATCCTCGACTCAGTATATTTCTGTCCCTGAAGACAGCTCTGCTGGTCGCGTTGATATCGATCAGAGGGTCGGGGACCCGGAGGCATTTTTCGGTCAGTGACTCGTGCCTGTAATTGGGCTGGCTTCTCTCACGTATGAGACCCCGCCCGCGATATGTGCCCAAGGTTCCTACCACTCCGTTTTAATACGAGGTAGTGAGCCTGCAAGCGCTGCCCTCGGAGGAGGCAGACCCAGCCCTTATTTATTGTCCAGTTCGCGTTTTGCGTATTATCCGGACCGCACTCAGAGTTTAGATCATCTGAGCAGCTCTTCGTCTGTTATAGCGGTCGGCAGCAGGGAAGTGCCGTACCGAAATAAGTTCCCACTAGATTGTGGATGCCTTCTTTCACTATCAGAGCCGAGATGAGCCGCGTCCCCCGAGAGCGCGTGCGCACTCCACTCGGAGCTTCGCATCCTCTCGAGCGCACGCACGCGGCGCCCCTCTAACAGACATCTGTAGAGCTGCGGGCTGGGTGACACCCAACACATTTGCAAGGTTTTACAATCTGCGAGTGGAGCCGGTTTCCTCAAGGGTATTAGGTAACCCTTGGTGATTGAGGAAACAATTCGGTAGGGTGTTGAAACACGCTTGCTGCGCCATTTTCCCTAACACGGAGATACGTGCGCCTTTTTATCTGTCAGTAAAGTTCCCCGTCAGGTGAGCCCTGCAGATTCCTCCGTGGCCCCCAGCACTGACTCAGCGGAGGAGTCACTTGCTGGCCCACTACGTTGTAGGTCTGCCCGCTGGTCAGCCCGCGTTTTGGGTAAAGGTGCCTGCTATGCGTGGTCCCCACTAGGCGATCCCATATGCTTATTCAGCCACGGTTAAGTCCCCCCCTGGGCGGACCCGTGTCTTCCCTCCCCGCTAACCACTCTTTTGCTATGCGTACTCCCCCTTTTTAGGGCTAGTCCATATGTAAATTCTGCCATCTATCCCCCCTTGGGTAACGGATGGCCTCCGCAGCGTCCTCCCTATCGGGATTGCACGCTTCCCAACGTACTGTCGTATTTTCCTAGAATTATCTAGATGCTCACGACTTCCCAAAAAAATATATATAAATCCGTAAAACTTCTGTTGAAGTAGGATAAATTAGGGCCAGGGACACGTTGGAGGACCGCGCCCCCCATGATGTGGGTGCGTCACGCTTGCTTGACTATCTCCTCATCGGGGGTGTTGGTAAGGTGCAGTCATTATGGCGCTTTCAATGGGCTCCCAATGCGTGGATTTTACAATCAAATCCACTTATAGTGCTGAAGTTCCCCCCGAAGGGGAACGTTCGAGGTTACTAAAGTAACCCTTCGTTCCCCGAGGAGGGGAACGGAAGCACTATACTCCGTCGCCATAATGACTGTCCCTTAGCTGTTGAAAGTCTCTTCAGCTTAAAAAGGATAGCGTCTGCTGGCGCCAGGTGAGCTTATATACTCAGTTGATTGCTTATGCCGCTCACCTGCGCAGGCTTGCGCTGCCAATTCATTCTTAATTGGCCCGTTCAATACTCTTTCAGACGAGTAGCTTCTGAACCGAACCTCCCAATGCGTGGATTTTACAATCAAATCCACTTATAGTGCTTCCGTTCCCCTCCTCGGGGAACGAAGGGTTACTTTAGTAACCTCGAACGATCTTTGTTGCCTTACCATGGCTTCAGCAGGTGCAATGATATTATACAGCGCACCGAGAGTATTCTATTCCAAAATTTGTATTTTGACATGGGTATGACTAGAGATTAAACTGTTGAGATGGTTTATGAGGACATGCCCTGTGTCCTAGACTCCTTATCATTCAAAATGGGTAAAAATCATTCTTAACAGGATCTTTTAACCATCAAAATGTGTCACATGTTTGCTGTGAAGGTTGGGTTTAGACGTGGGGTTGGGTGGTATAATGTGTGTTTGCTTTAGAGAGTATAAAATACAGCAATATAAAGTCCTCATAAACCACATAGTTTTCAATATACAAAATTTAAACATTGATTGCACATTGACATTTTATTCAATACTATTGGTTAGAGTATCTTATTTTGAAATATGTGCATTAAAAGAAGTATTAATATAGAACTCAAAATGTTTTGAGAAAGTGGAATATGCATCATAAGCATCACGAGGATGAGAAAATAACAGCTAAAAACATCTTTGTAACCTAAAATGAATACTTACCAATAAGCACCAGTGACCGTTAAGCTCATGATGACATGAAGACAACTGGCAGAAGATAAACACTATTTGTGACAGAGATTAATGTTTTAGTGTATCGCTTCAAATTACATACACACCCCAGTTCAAAAGGTTTGGGATCATAAAAGAATCCCAAAATTACACATATAAAAAAGACACTACAACATTATACAAAAAATGAATTTAATAATGCCACGTGTGAACAATAGCCCTAGTGATGACTATAATACATTGCTGTTTTACAGTAAGTAGAAGCCTCAAAAAGTCTTTTCAGTAATAAAATAACATCTGAAAGGTTTGTTACAAAGTTGGCTCCCAAAGGACTGGTACAGTTTTAGTTCAAACATCCGCAGAGCAAAATAAGTCTATGAAAACGAGACAGACGAGATGTGTTCTCGCTCTGCTTTTGAGGGTTTCGCTCTCTCATTCTTTAAGGTGAAATGTGTCATCTCTGCATCTGCACAGCAGCACTACATCAAACTGAAAAAGCAACTGTTTACAAACCAACAGAAGCCCATAAACTTAACTGGAGTCTTAAAAATTCAGTTTCATTATGTTTGAACTGCTTTTAGGATGATTCACTAAATTCTGCCCTTCTAAATTATTCTTAAAGTGGCCCACTTATGCTTTTACAGCCTGATCTCACGAGAAAACGTCAGTATTTTATGCTTTGTCAGTTTAGTGGCTAATTCGTACGAATTCGTACAAGTTCAGTCGTACAAAATTGTACGATTTAAAAAGGAGGTGTGGCACCTAACCCCACCCCTAAACCCAAGCGTCATTGGGGGATGAGCAAATCGTACTAAATTGTACGAATTCATACGAGTTAGCCACTAAATCAAAAAGTTACGAATTGCCGTGAGATTGTGTTGGCTTTTTCAAATATTACCCTCCATGCAGTGCATAGTGTAGATGTTTGTGAATGTAAAATGTCAAGAAAGTTTTTAAAGACTAAAGTGCACAATAAATAAGTTTTGTCTTCATAAAAATGACTGATCCAAAATGAGTCGTCAGTAATTTCAGTTTTACTTGAGTAACTGATCTACACTCCAAAAATTATTCTTGCCGCTTAATCAAACTACTTATTTAAAATGAGCTGAATCAACACAATTCAACACAAAGTTTGTTTTGGGATAACACAATTGTTTTATGTTTAATCTACTTCAATTTATTAAAACAATTAAGTCAACTTAATCAATTTGCAGTGTTGGGCAGTAGCGTCACAACAAGCAGTGACGCTGCTAGCTTAACTACATTTCTTAGTAGCGTGGCGGTAGGGTTGCTACTTTTTATATCAAATACCTTTTCAGTAGCGAAGCTATTATTTTAAGCAAGTAGCTCAGTAATGTCCATGCATCATTAAGTAATGCCACCACCATTCATAGAGCTTCGTGTTTTACGGTAATCGAAAACAAACTTTTTGGTGAGTTACTGCCACCCCGCTCCCTTCGGTGATGTTGCCAATCAATCACCTGGCTGACACAAGAAACTTGCTTGATGAAAGGATGACTGTACAGGAAGTATTTCTGAAGCAGGACCATAACAAGCACAATAACTGATCGTGACAATTTTGCCGCATGTTTCATTGGCAGTTTTATTGATCATTAAGACAGAACTGACTTGGGTTGAAGTTGCTTTGATTAAAAAAAAAATTGCTTAGATGTAGCTAAGCCACTTTTGCCATGTAGCTTTTAGCTTAGCTTGCTACATTTCCCAGTAGGGAGCTTTTAGTTTAGTTAGGCTACATTTTAGGAAGAGTAATTAATAGCTTAGCTCACTAAAAAAAAAGCCTAGTAGCTTTCCCAACACTGTTAATTTGTGTTTGAACAACATTAAGGAATTGTGTGCAACCTAGCATTTTTTTACAGTGTATGTAGACCTGTAACACAATGCATAATGCCAAACTATAGTCTATACAGGCTGTCCATGAACATTTACAGTACTTTGACTCAATATCAAACAATTAATAGCTTTGTGTTGTGACGCCATGGCTATAGCACATCTTTCACAAAAAAAAAAAAAAAAAAATACAATAAAATAATCCTGTTTACATTAAACCCAGAAAATGATTTTGTGTGTGAATTGTGAATGTGAATGAATTGTGTGTGCCCAAAACCAAACTGCCTATTTTTAGTGTTGAGAAATCCAAATGCTAATTGGTCATAGTGTTCATCAGCTCAACAGAAAAGCGTTAGATTGGTTATTATACTGACAATTTAATGTTTGGCTTGGTCAACTAGCTGTTTAAATGTTTGATGTAATCATCAGCAGAACTGGGCTTGAATTGATATGTTGTTACCATCCTACAGTATGAAGCAGAAGTGCCAGTGCCAGATGTAGCCCTCAGTGCCAGATGGTAATGAGCATTTTCTTTCAAACATGCACTGAAGTGGTTGGGCCATTTGACCAATCATAGCAGAGTATAGACACATGAAAAAGAAGCGGCTTAGAATCAGGGCTGCCAAGTCCACAGGTTTCAACTATAACTGGGATACTTTTAAAAGAATAATTCACCCAAAAATTAAACTCTTTCATCATTTACTCTACTTTGACTGAATCTAAACCGGTTTAAAATCTGTAACCGTTGACTTCTAATAGAGTTAGTTTTTCATACTAAAGATATCAATAGTTACAGGTATCCAACCTTGAATGAAATATCTTTTCTGTGTTTAAAATACACTCAAAACTATATTTGCTGCTTATTAAAAATGAGCTGAATTGTCACAATTCTTGCGTTTGTTTTAGAGATAACTTCTTTGTTTTATCTTCAATTTAATTTGTAAAACACAAACTATTCTTGCTAAATAACAAGTGCAAAATTATATGTGCTATAATAATCTATACACTGATGTATACTGTGTAATTTAAAGAAGGGCAGTGGTATAATTTAAGGTTTACTATTATTGGAATAGTTTTGATTGTCCATTGCACTAGTTTTGTTGCAAAAACCTTGCAACCCAGTTTAGAATGAACAAATCTTTGAACAAATTGTGTGGCACTCTTTGAGAAAGAGATGAATATTATGAAAAAACAGCATTATTCTTATTTTTATTCTTATTATAACTTACCTTGAATATAAACGTACTGTAGGAAACATAACAACAAACTTCATAATAGGGACACTTTTGACTGCATATGAAATTCCTCCAAAATAGGTCCCCCATAAACTTTCAAGGGACAATAATATGAAAAAAGACAAGTTATGATTACAAAGTAGTTTTAAGGCGGGGCTTAACATCTAGTCAATCCAATATAGTGCTGCAGAAATGACACAGTGCAGCTTTACTTACACAAAACAGTGCACGTGTCTTTTAGACTAGGTAATGCGATAAAAAGAGATTACTTTTTTAATGACAAATTAAAAAGCACAGTCATCTTAAGCGTTTGGTCATCTGAAACTGACGTTTTGTATTTTTTTAAGTCATAATCGTAGTTACTTTGTCTATGAGGCTCAGTGTTTCCAGCACATTAGAGAGATACAGAAACAAATCATGCAGAGGATCCTCAACATGAGGAGAAGACATGTCCTCGACTCTATCAAAGCAAAAGCAGCAATACTGGAGAGAGCAGGAGGGACGCTAGAGCGGAGGACACTGAAGAACCACTCAGAGAGACTACACCACATAGAGATGGACATGAGAAACAGGCAGTCATGCAATAATCACAACATAGGGAAGGAGGAAGAGTTTTTGGCACCAGGACGTTTGCGTTATGAGTGCATGTGATGGTCCATCCAAATCCAAGCCCAGGAGCAACGACAGGACAACAGAGAAACAAGGAGAAAGGGAAATGGGAAGAGAGAGAGAGAGAGAGAAAAAGAGAAAAACAAGAGGCAGAAAAATAAGTCAAACACAGAAACAAAGTCTCAAAATGAAAAAGTAAAGTGAAAAAAAGGAATATGAATGAAAGCAGAAAGCTGATGGTAAAAGAAAGATTGTGAGAGTTGGGTCATTCTCAGTACCAAGTGCCATACAGTATGTGCCTATAATTTACTACTGTCATAAAAATTAAAAAAAAAAAAAAAAAAATGTCTTATGTTGAATGGATATATTTCAGAATTTGCAAAAAGAAAAATAATATATATATATATATATATATATATAAATATAATCATTATAATACTCAAAAAAAGATTATATTTCAGGAAGACACTTTGTCATTTTCCTTCTGTAATATATATCAAAACTCAATGTTTATTGTGAAGCACTTTATTTAGACAACTTTTTTTTCTTAATATTTAGATTTGTTTAACCCGCAGATTCTGAATTTTCAAGCAGTTGTATCTTAGCTTTCATGTGATATATAAATCTGAATTTACACCTCTATATTTGAAATGGTATTGTAATACTCTGTCATCCTGTGAGTAAAACACTGTTTTGTGGTTAAATTGCAGGTGTTGGCAAAAACGGGGCAATCGATTTTGTAAAAAATATATAAATTGACATTGGAATATTGCAAAAAAAAGAAATACAAAACAATATATGAATATAAATATTTAACATTTAATAATACTAGAATAGAATGTGTGATTTTGTTGTGGAGTCCAAATAAAAAGCTGGTTATTTTTTGTTTACGTTTTTTATTTTTTACAATAATTCACTCTTGCACATGTTGTTGACCCATCAGTAGGCCCACACAGAATCTGTGCACGCAGAAATCTGCAGGTATTCGCAAATTTTTAGCTCATCATTGATTTTATTTATTTACTTTTATAAATGTGTGTTAGTTTTTAATTTATTCAGTATTTAAATTAATTTCAGTAATATTATTGATTATTTATTTACAATACAGTTTTTAAAGTAACATTTTCTATCTTTTAGTAGATATTTTATATGACAGACTAGCTTTGTTTACCATATAGGTTAATCTAGATGGATTTGCATTGTAAACATTAAATAAAGTAAAAAAATATCTATATAAACTTTTTATTTAAAAATTAAGTTTTTAATTACGATACTCCCAAAATAATTGTGCATAAACCCGCAGATTTTTAAGCAGAAATAGTGAAAAAAATGATTGCAGATTCTGTTTGGCCCTATTATAGATTCTGTTTTTCAATTACAATTTTATTTATAATACAACTGCACAACCCTAATGGGAAATGATATTATTAGACTTTACAATCCTATACTATTTTTGTTTTACTGTGATTTGTAATAAACATTATGCAACAAAATAAGAAATATATGTAATCTGTTAACATGTTCATTTCTTCATTTTCATACAGCAACCAATCAAGCTTTTCATGTTCGACATACTGCACAGTATGTTTCATAAGTACACTACCGGTCAGAAGTTAAGGGTCATTTTTTTCATGTTTTTTTTTTTTTCAAAAGAAAATTATTCTGTTTATTAAGTTGGAATTTATTAAATGTGAAAAAAGTTAAAATGTTAAATATTTTAAATAACTGCTTTCTTATTGTATGTAGTTTCAAATGCAATCATTACTCCAGTCGTTACTACTACTACTACTACTACTACTACTACTAATAATAATAATATAACTAATTTTAAACTGATTTCTAAAGGTTCACATGACTCTGAAGACTGGAGTAATGAAGCTGAAATTCATCTCTAAAATAATTTGAAGAAATGTTTAAATTAAATTTAAAACTACTTTTGAACAGTTATTTTATAGTGCAATAACATTTAATAATTTTACAAGTTGTACTGTATTTCTGATTAAATAAATGCAGCCTTGGTGAGCAGGAAAAGCTTATTTTAAAACATTTAAAAATCCTACTGACCCCAAACTTTTGATCAGTAGTATACATGTACAGTAACTAAATTATGTCTGATTTGGTAGTTTCACTAAGCCTTAACACAATAACAATTTTTTTTTATAATACAACTGCACAATCCTAATGGGGAATTACATTATTAGACTTTAAATTTATAGAACACTATACTTTTAATAAATTGTAAGATTTTTAAGAATTACCTTCAAAGGAAATTATTGATATGTGTGTGTGTGTGTGTGTGTGTGTGTGTGTGTGTGTGTGTGTGTGTGTGTGTGTGTGTGTGTGTGTGTGTGTGTTAGTTTTAAAAAAGAAATAGATAAAAAAAAAACATTAAAAGAAATGTTCTTGCATAAATGGCACGTCCTGAAGATGACTCACAAAACAAAAGCATGCAAAAGCCCAGCAAATGGTTTTGATGGGACAGTGGGTGTTGTTTATTGCATTAATGAGGATAATAACAGGACAGTGTTACTGTAGATTATGCATAACACACAAAATTAGCACTTCATAATGTTGCCCCAAAACACAGTGCATTCACAGCCCACACAGCGAGTAGCAAAGAGCAAACTATTTATTATATGTTAAGTTAATTAGAGAACATACTGTATTTGCTTCACTGAATGACTTTACAACCACAAAAATGATTTGAAAATGTCCTTGAAGACCGTGAGGTTCTACATTAAACAAACAACGCTCAACGGAGCAAACACTTAATTAAGATCCCAGAGCTAGCTTGTTTTGCTTCAAAGTAGATGAGAAAACTTGAATGCCCACAGACACACTCCAGACCTGAGCTCATTCATCTGTGACTGAAGAACAGCTTATTACATCCACAGCAGGATATTTCATAGCATTTAAAATGAACTGTGTACAAAGTTGAAAATTGTAAAAATTGCTGGAATATTAAACTTAGAAATTATATATATATATATATATATATATATATATATATATATATATATATATATATATGTTAATATATATTTATGTTAATAAACCATTAAACCATTAACTATGACTTTTGCATCAATAAACTCTTGCTTATCTTATTAATAGCTATTAAAGGTAGTAGCTGGGTTTATGAATTAGGTATGATTGGGGATATAGAATAAGATTTCTATATAACCAGAATATGTATTTTATAAGTATTAATAAACAGACAATATTTTAATAATAGGCAGGTAATAAGTCGCTAGTTAGAGTGAGAATTAGTACTTAAACTTAAGTGTTACCTTTTTTCTTTTTTACTTTTTTATCAGAGTAAGTAGTAAATAAACAATTATTTATTACATGTTTGTTTTTTGCCATAACATAAGTAAAATGTAGCCATTAAATAAAGCGAGATGAAAAAAAGAAAAGAAAAGACCCAAACAGATGTAAAAACGATTTTTACAAATGGAGTAAACAGATTTGTTTAAAATATATGGGCCCACAACAAATGCATTGCAATTGTAATTGAAGCAGTCGTGAAAAATGCCTGTGCTAACTCTGTAGCTCCAAGATGTACACAATTCATTAACAAACAGCAGAATAATGCATGAGAGCTCATAAAATATTCAGTGAAGAGGTTATGAAACGCCAGCTATTATTAAACAAACAGAAAACTTGTGCGCAAAATGCTGAAATGTTTACTTTGACTAAATATGAGCTTAAAGCGATAATTCATCCAAAGATATATGTTTATATTAGCATTTACTCACCTACTACTTCTTGTAAACCTGTTTGGGTTTCTTAATAAAGATAATTTGATATCAATGGGATCACTGTTTCACAATAGTTTATTTTTTCTGTCTATTGATTGTATATATATATATATAATTCAAAATAACTTCTTTTATGTTCTATAAAGGAAAGGAACTAAAACTGGTTTGAAACAACATGACGGGTGATTTTCATTTTTGGCTAAACTATCCCAGTGTTTTCCAAAGTTTTTTTTTTTTTTTTTTTTTTTTTTTCCAGGAGACCTGTTTTAGAATTCAAAATCTTACATGATCCCTTGCAAAAAACCCTAGTAGACACATTTAACAAATCTATACATGAGTTGTTTTTAATCCTAAAAACTACGTAGAGATTAAAACAATAAAATGAACATGGATGGCCAGATTTTTAAATGAACCAAAAAACAAAAACAAAAAAAAACAAAAAAAACAAAAGTTGGTTGACTTACAAATGTGATCTACTAAGATTGTACTATTAGGAAATAAAATTGTCATTTTTTGGACGTTTATTTTCCAACCCATACAGTGTTTATTTTTATTTAATATCTGCAGTAGTTCATAAAAAAACTAAATTTAACTGTGCACAAAAGACAAACTAAATTATTGCAATGCTTAACAAATGCTTCAGTGGTCCAGTACCCTTATTGATAGTTTTCTTGTGAAGTCACGTCATTAGGGGAACCTGGCGGGCAAAAACCAACCCAGGCTCATTTTGAAAATGTACCACTATATACATTTCTGGAGAGCACCAAATACGCCACAGGAGGTATGCTTTTTGCAGTTTTTGTTTTCTCAAATCCACCAAAAGCCACTATGTACATTTTTTGAGGTCTTAAATTGTGCCATTTGTGCCTGCTCTTCTCGCGTAAATCCACCAGAGTTTGACTGACTGACCGATTGACTGACCCACCCTCCTCCTTCCCTAAACCCAACCAATAGTGTTTTCAAAATCCCAGATTGACTCACCCACCCGCTTCCCTAAACCCAACCGACAGTTTCAAAAAAGCAATCCAGAAAAAGAAAGATTTTTTACCGCATTTTCAGATTTTACCACATTCTCAACCTGTTATTTACTTGTTTATTTAATTTTTTGGATTCTGTTTTTGTCTTACCTGCTTTCTGGACAAACTGGTAACAGCAGGAAAGCCATCCATA